GAGTGGATGTTTGGGGGCTGCCTCGGGGGCCCAAAGGGAGGACCTGTACACCTAGCGAGACTAGGGTCTGCTCAGAGGACCCTGTGCCTCAGAATATGATGGCATGGATGGATGGCTGTGGATCGTCAAATCAGGACTCAGAATTGTGGGGGTCTAAGGAGCACCACAGGGTTGAGTGCTGTTCTTTGTCTTTTTTCTTTTTTTGGTATGGGGGATTGAACTCATGACCTCTTGTTTGCCAAGCAGGCACTTAGGCCGCTGAGCTAAAGCCCCTTTTTAAAGTTCCATTTGTGGTAGGTGATAACCACCTTCTCTGAGGAGACAGAAGAAGGCAGCTCAATGACACTGGTCAGTAGATGGGTGGAGCCTCCCCAGCCTCCCACTGGGGGGCTTCCCCAGGCATCCGCAGCACTACCATGACCCTGAGTTTCCACGGCTCCTCCTTTGGCTATGCTCCCTGGTCCAAGAAAACTGCTGATAGCTCGAGGACTTCAGCTGCAGCAGGCATGCTTGGGGAGAGGACCTCACACCACATTCCAGTGCCCTGCATCTCCCCTCCTCCAGCAGGTGCTGGACCTCCATAGACTTCCCCTCCCTCCTCATCTCCCACTACTTCTGAGGGTTCCGGGGCAGGGAGAGCTGGCACTGTCAGCCCAGAGAACGGGTGAGTCAAGTCTTGGGTCCTTCTGCTGCTGCTCCCTCCCATACCCTGCCCTGCTTTCCGGGGAGGGGAGACAGCACAGATCAGACAGGAGGAGAGGTCCAGGAGGGGTGGGGAGTGCAGCGTGAGCACTGGCAACCCATGAGCGGGCGAGTTGGTGAAGGGCTCTCCTCAGGGCTGTGAGGAGGAGCTGTTCACAGCAGCCTTGTGCAGTCTGAAATCCTGTCTTTCCAGGCATGATGTGGGATCAGGCAGTCTGTGGCCTTTCGGGACGGGCTTCCTCACTCAGAAAGCGCCCCTGTGCACATGAGCTCCCTCTTTTTGATGCTGAGTGGCCTTCCATGTGAGAGTGTGCCATGGCTTGCCAGCCCACCTACCCCTGGGGAACACCCCAGTTGTCCCCTACTTCTGCTGGGTGTAGAAGAGCAGTCGTGAGGCTCTGTATGAACAATGGCCCTCGGTTCTCTAGGACGAATGTCCAAGGCCACCATCGCTGGACTGCACAGGGGGTGCCTGCATATTTAGTTTTACAAAAATGACTAAACTGTTTTTCTAAACTGTTTTTCAGAGTGGCCATATCACTTTATGTTCTCACCAATCAATATTGTTCCTATTTTTAAACCGAAGTGTATACGCTATCAAAAGAGGCCACAGGCAGGGTCCCAGGGCAATGGGAACATTTAGAATCTTATCTTTTGTGGTGGATGTGAGAGAACAGTGTAGGATGGGACACATACGTGTACACACACACACACACACACACACACACACACACGAACACATCTGTGGGAAAGGTGAGCACAGCTGGGGGTCACACCAGTGTTGGAACCCTCCCTGGGAATTGTATCTTGTCAAAATATTACCATCTGAGAAATGAGGTAAGAGGAATTGTACATGGATCTAGAATCATCTACAAGTATAAGTAAAATGTTATTACAATTAAGACATACAATCGATCACACACAGTATACAGTATTATGATGTAGGAGTGATTTAGGTCAATGTTGTTTCTTGCTTCTCTGCTTTTGGGGGCCAGGCTCTGGAGCTAAGACTCCCCGTGTCTCCTGAGGTCTCCTTTGCACCCACACACCAGGTCTTCTCAGTTGGTTTGGCCATGCACCCTCCCAGCTTATGTCAGGGAGTGGAGGATGGAGCCGAGTGGGATCACACTGAGGGATCCTGTCTGGGGCCACTGGGTGCCCCACGGGCAGCCCCTACTGAGAAGGGTAAGGCGACCCCACTTAGACTCCTCCTCCCAAGCTGCCACTTCCAGACACAACCTTGGCTGGCCCACATGGATAAACTCTGTGAAGACAGCCCTGCCTGTGGCTGAGAGTGGCCAGGTCTGTCCATGTGCTGCTGACAGGCCACCATGCCTTGTGGCAGTGGAGAAACCAGATGTGCCACCACAGTGACGCTGAAGAGGAGGGAACAAGAGGCTGCCTAGGGTCGGGGCTGTGCTCTTTGCTTCTGGCCCCTGACATTTGGAAACTGGAGCTACCCTACAGTGTTCACCAAGTACTCAGCCTGTGTGCTCAGCTAGGGGCAGGCTTCCCCCCTGGGGCAGCTAACAGTTGGCCTGCATGGTAGATTGTGTTAGGACCCCTCACTCCCAACATTGTAGTGAGGTCAGTCCTGTCAGGCTGTCATGTTAGGCTGGAAAATAACTCCAGAAAGGAGGCCCTGCAACAGCCTCCCTGTGACTCAGAACAGTATGACTGTTCCATGGGGCTCATCAAGGGGGTGATTCCTACCCCGCTCTGTTATTCCCCAAGGTCTGACTTGGGCAGTGAGGTCTTTGCAGTGACGGAGGATGAGCAGCAGGCCTGCCTCAGGGACAGAAGCCTTCGTTATACTGCTTCTGTTGTGCTCGCCACGCCAAGGAGACCATCATGCCTTGCCCAGCCTGGTGGTCTCACATACGCAGTTGTTCCCTGGTACCTGCCAGGAGCAGGTTTGTGTGCCTTGTGCACAGTGGCAAAGTGTTCGCAGATGCCCTCCCAGAGAGTTTTGGTCGTCCTGAGGCCACTTTTCACAGCTAACTTGGTGGAATGCTGTGGAAATAGTCGTCACATGGTAAGATAAGCCTGCTCATGCTCGGGACACAGGCAGCCACCCAAGACCGGCGTGCATCCTGGTCTGAGGTGGACAGTGACACTTTTTGTCCTCAGAGTCCAGAACAATGCACATCATCAGTGCTAGAGAAAAATTTACCAAATATATGACAAATGACAGATTATTAATTGTCAAAATTATTCATTGCTATGTGCTGAGCCTAATAAGTGATTCCGAATTTTCCCTACACTCAACTCTCAATCCTTTTTGCTTCAAAAATTCTCAAATATCCTCAGGGCGCTTTCGCATGAATGTTGGCTTCCTTGTCTTAGAGGTGGTCAGAGTGACCCTGCCCCACAGTGAATACATCCAAGGTTCCTCCCGTAGTGGAAGAGAACACCAGCGACTTCCGAACCAGTGACCTCAGGCACTGTGGGCGTTACACCACAGCATTTATGGGCTCCAAATAAGGCTTATCAGCATCTGCCTGAGTCCCTCCAGCCCAAACGGTGCTGAGGCACGGACTTTCACTGTGGTCACCTCTGGAAAAACCCGCCAGGATGAAAGGAGCCCTGTGCCTCGGGGACTTCCCAAAGAAGAGCCCCACCTGGATGGTCGGGCCTTGTCTGTGGCAGAGGCAGTGATGTGCTCTGATCAGCCCAGCACTCCTCTAAACTGGAGCTCACCACCTCACCTCGCTGACTGTCCACGCCTGAGTGGTCACAAGCTGTCCTGTTTTCCTATGAGCCAGTGCCCTCCCGGGCACAGGACGTTCCTGCCTGGGCAGGGCTTGGGAGCCTTTCCAGCCTCTGGAGTTGGCGAATCGGAAGTTAAGCAAGGTCTCTGAGAATACAGTGGGACAACATCTGCGCATCGGTCACCTCCTCGTTTCTGCTCTCCTCAGCTGTGACCAGTGAGTCTGAGCTGAGGCTGGGTCGCTGCTGGTGAAGATGGAGGAGCAGGCGGGAGGCCAGCACTGGCCATGCAGTGACTTCACCGGTCGGGAGGCGCTTGTTCAATGGATCCTTTCCCCAGACAGTCACCACACACTCCGCTGGCCACCCTGGGGGCTTGGGAAGGAGCCTTACTGAGCTTTTCCTTGTTTCAGACGATGGTGTCTTTCCCACTGCGCGCTCCACCTCCTGAGCTTCGCGGTGGCCTTTTGATTTTTACTCCGCTTCACTGCAGCGATCGCTACTATGAACATTGGGGGTTTTGTGCCCTTTTTCACTCTGCATTTATGTAAGTTGTTTTAAACGAATACATGATCATCCTGTATGAATCATTTAGAATTCTGCCTTTCTCCCTTAATATTTTATTATGAAACCCCCCATCGCTGCTAAAGATTTTCAATACATCAGTTCTATTTACTGTAAATTATTTACAACAGTATTACAGCTCGGGCCAACATTTACTTGGCCGTCTCCTGCTTGTTGACATTTAGGGTGTTGTTAAAATTATACTATTATAAGTAAGCCTAGAGTGAATCTCATTTGATATAAATCAGGATCATGGAGTCTTACGTCGGTAAACACGCATGGTTGGATGCGTAAGCGAAGTAAAACTTTGTTGTGTTGAGCTGCTGAGATTTGCAGGCTGCTGTTAGCTGTATTTCACACATTTGATGATGAGCCTGAAGATGGCTCAATGCTGCAATGCAGGAGTCAGAGTCCCCCCTCCCCCACGTGGCAGAGAGCCCGCCCAACTTTTAGCGCAAGGGCATTTCTACTCGCACCTCATTGGCTGAAGCCAGGCACGTGGCCCCGCCCCCACAGGCGAGATTGGAGGAGTCCACGGAGGCGGTGTGAGGGGCGTGGCCTCTGGAGGGGCGGGCTGAGGAGCGTGGTCTCGGGAGCCTGTGTGGGCCCCTGGCTGCAGCAGGTTCTGCTGCTGCGTCCTCCTGTGTCAGCTTACTGCAGGGTTGCAGTTCACAGCTGTTCCCTGGACTTGCTCGTCCGCGCATGCTACCCTCCTCACTGGTCTGCTGTCTCCTCCCTGCTGTGTCGTCTAGGTCAAAGCGCAATTCGGGGTGATCCACTGCAGGCTTCTTGTCATGGGGTAAAGATCCCTTGCGGATGCTGAGTAGTTGGTTATAGCTTTGAGCTGGAGCAGGATGCCTACTTAGCCTGACCCAGCACCCTCCCGGCACAGCACCCCAAAGCCTCTTTCCTGCCCGGGGCTGTGCCTGCTCAGGAGCACAGGGCCACCCTTGACCTCCCCTTCCACTTCTCCAGCCCGCCTTCCCTCTAGGACGGCTTTGGACATCAACTCTCTGACGTAAGCCCACTGCTTCTGTTTGGGTGCAGCCTGGAAGACTTCTAACTTGGGAAGTAAGAAGGGAAGGGGGCAATTTTGTTTTGTTAATAAGGTTTTGTTAATGAGAACTCAATGGGAAAATTTATTTCTATAGAGCAACCTGAAAGAAGCACCCATGTAGATACACATGCAACTCAGAATCTCCTCCCTTTTGTGGGCACGGCAGACACAGCCAGGAACCTGAGGAAAGAGAGCTGTCAGAAAGCAGATCTGAGGCCAGCTGAGCACTATGGATAGCCTAACTCCAAAAGACAGACAGTATTTTGAGCTGAGTTTTCTGGGCATGGTACAATCCCAGCATTTGGGAGGCTGAGGTAGGAGGACTGCGTGAGTTCAAGGCAGCTTGTGCTACATGGTGAGTTCTAGACCAGCCTGAATTACACAGCAGACAATGTTCTTGTTAGGCAGACACATATTAAGTTGCTCCTCTGTATCTGTGATTCTTCTATGATTTCAAAGAAGTGCAAATTGAAAATATTTAGAAAGTATCGCATCTGTGCTGTGCATGTACAGACTCTTTTCCTGTCACTGTTTGCTAAACAATACAGCATGACTCCTGCTTTTACATTTACATTGTATTGTCTTTCTGATTTTCAGAAATCAGAATCAGTATCAGATGATACAGCAAGTACTCTAGGGATGATTTTAAGTATGCAGGAGAATGTGCATTGGTTATTTGCATACTCTGCACATTTTATATGAGACACTTGAGCATCAAGTAGTTCTGTGTCCTGGTGAAGGAGAAACAGCCCCTTGAGTACATGCAGGCAATTGTTTATATGCATATTGAGTGATAAAACACTCCATACCAAAACTTCTGTGCGCAGCCAGGTCAGCATTTGGAGGGGAATAAATATTTATATTAGAGGAGAACAAACATTCACATTTAACGAGCAAGGCAGAAAATTAAGAGATTAAAAAAAGAAGCTAAGAACGTAGAAGTGGGGAGACAATAGAAATAAGGGAGAAAATGTTTAAAATAGAAAGTAAATATAAATATGAAATAGAGGGAATTGAGAAATCTAGCTCCTCCTACAAAACAACAAAGAAAACAGACACACTTAGACAAAGCATATGGAGAGAAAAACTGAAAAGACAGAAGTCATCCTGAGAATGCAAATAGGTGTATGACTGGGGACAGAAAGCTCTTAAACACAGGAGAACTGACAAGGACAAAGCCGTATCAACAGGGAGAGATGGAGAATTATCTGCCAAAATGTACACTGGCAAAACTGAAAATCAGAAAGACTCCAAGGAAAACTCTAGCCATTTAAGAAGTGGACCTGGCAGTTTTGCTTTTGTTTTTAATGTACTGTGCTTAGTACTACACCAAATGCCAGGAACAGATATGGCTTTCCAAGAGAATTCTCCTGAACATTCACGGGACGGTTCTCCTCTGACACAGAACATCCCCTGCAACAGAAGGGGGCCTGCACTCTGACTCGCTTTCTGAGGAAGCTTCGTGTTTACACGAAGTCAGATAGCACAGCACGAGGCAGAGAAGGTCACCTTCCTTCTGGAGGCAGACACGGAAACCCCCACAGACTGGCAGAATCCCGCAAGGTGTGAAAGAGACAGATCATGGCAAATCAAATGGATGAACTGGAACCTATGCGCGACACATGGTGTTAACAGGTTAAAATTCTACACTCATCCTTGGTACCCACTCGTAGGAAGCTGGAAATGGAAACACAAGCTCTTAACTTGACAGAAAGCATTTACAAGAAAGCCTGACAGCCAGCAGCCTAAGTGATAAAAATTTAGGGTAAGTCTCTGCCTCTCTCTTTTTAAACTGATACATGAAAACATAAAAAATTTTCAGGTACCACATCACACTAACCATACTAATTTAGCCAAACATTTGTCTTTTCTTGGTGGTGAAAACACTGGAAATGCCTCTGAGCAGCTTTGAATCTGCAGTGTGTTGTCCTTGTCTTCAGTGACCCACAGAGCACGCAGCACAGTCTATGCCTATCTGTAACTTAGGGCAGCCCGGACAGCCTCCTCCCCTGGGTTTAAAGACGAGCTCCAAACGTAAGAAATCTAGAGTGTCTGCCACTGCCCTTCCTTCCAGTGTTTCACCTGAGCTACTGTCATGGGATAGTAAAAGGAACTAAGAGGTAGAAGAATTTCCAAAGAGGAAACAAAACTGAATTATCTGTAGATGATGAGATTGTTTTCGTAGAAAACTCAAGGGAATCTACGGGCCATCAGAATCAGTGGGCATGGTTAGCTGTATAGCTGGATGCGGGCAATGAGGATGTGAACATCGATGTGGTACAGAATACACTGCCTTTATGGTGGCGACAGAGATGTCCAGGAACTGTGAAGATCACCATACAAAAGCAAAGTCTTTATGAAGAAGATGTCAAAACGCTATTGGAGTCCACGAGAGAAGATTTAAGGAGATGGGTCAGGTAGTCATGGAAGAAAAGACACAGCCACATGGAGAAGTTAATTTTCCCAAACTATCCTAAAAATTCATTAAAATTTCAAATAATACCAGCAATTAATTAATTTTTAGAAATGTATGAAGTTAATAAAACAACTCACATGATGAAGAAATTGCAGGGACTAATAAGGACTGATCTGGGGGAGCATTTGCTTTTGGGGCATTTAGATTTTTTGTGATGGTACGGTAATAAATAAATAGTTCAAAGAAATGGAGCAGAGAACTGACACAGAGCAAGGGTTGATGCAGGCTGAGGTGGCCGTGTGAACCCACAGGACAGAACGGATGGAAGTGCAGGACCCGCAGGCCCAAACAGTCCCTGTACACACCAGACACGAGTCACCATGCACCCAGGTGCTAAGACCCAAACCTGAGAGCCAAGACTTAAAAATCTGAAGTATAGAAAGAAGAAGATGTTTATGATCCCAAATTGGCAGAAATTTCTCTTTCCCTTTAAAAAAGGCAAAGGCCTAAAACCAAAACTTGGTCTGTTTGGTTGTTTTATTAAAAATAAGGCCAGGCATAGAGGCATATGACTGTAATGCTAACACTGTAGAAGCTGGGGCAGGAGGAGTGGGAGTGCAAGACCAGCTCAAGTAGTTTAATAAGACTCTGTCTCAAAGTAACATCATCTTCATCATCATAATGATAATGATAATAAAAGGGCTGGTGATGTAGCTCAGATAGAGCACCCGGTAACAAAAGAAGCATTAAAACAACATTAAAAAGTAAACAGGTAAGTTACAGTCTAGGAGGTAACATATTTGCAAACACACAACTGAATGAGGATTAGCAGCAAGATGATATGAAGGATTCCTTTGGTAAAACAAGAGGACAGTGCATCTAGACCGAGGGACAAAAGCACAGCATATAAGGCAGTTTGCATCAGACAGAACCCAAAAACCACGGCGTGTGAGAATACATTCAGTCTCACAGCAGCCACAGAGATGAAGGTTCAAATAACAAGCAGGCTGAAAACAAGTCCAAGCTAGCAACACTGCGCCAAGCGGATGGGAAGGCAGGTGGTTAGGGACCTTCTGGGTCGGATGGCAAGAGTGTAAGTCAGGCAGGCGTGAGAGGCAGTCCAGCAGGATGCGGCTGCCACTGTGCGTCCTGTGACCTGCCGGTTGCTAAGCGGCGCTCTGGACAGAGCAACTCACACAGACGATGTCCAAGAGCCGAGAACTGGTGTGTTCCTGGGAAGACGCGTGCACGTACAGGGAAGGGACCAGCACGAGGGATGCACGTTGTACTAACATCCGTTTAACGTGCACAGGTTCTCTACTCAACTGAGGAATGAAGAGGAGACACAAATGATTAATAGTGGTATTGAGATCTGACACGTTTCAAAAAATATGAACTAAAGCAATTTATAGAAGGACCTATACAACACAATTACATTTCTAAACAGTTTGATGAGGCAAGCACTGTGCTATTGTAATGTTTATGGACACATGAGAGGCAATGTAAACAGAAAACGTGTGTGTGATTACAAGCTCCGGTGCTGGGAAGGCAGCCACTTGGGTGGGCAGTGGGATGTGCCTGGGGAGGTGCGTGCGGGGCTTCTGTGTCTGCGCGGAACTGTTTCTTAGAGAGGAAAAGGGGCTCTGGACCAAGTGCTGTGAACCTGGCAGGTCAGGCAGGTGATCCAGGAGTCTCGTGAAGTTTGTTACCTTGTGTTTCCTTTCTACTCATGATGTTGCGCAGCAGGTTTATAAAAGTTTGTGTCTTACAAAAGTATAACGTTTACTGCAACCCTTTCCTTAGGCCCACCCCTATCTCCTGGCCACCGCAGCTCTCTTCTCTTACGGGTCTGAGGATTCCGGGTAATTCAGCCAAGTGGAGCTGTGCACATGTCCTTCAGTATCTGGCCTGTCTCGGCTAGCATAATACTGTCTCCATGTCCGTCCATGTCATCACAAATGGCTCGACCCCTCTTTAACCACGGAGTAATGCTTCATGGAATATGTGGACTGCATTTAAATATTCACCTGTTTGTGGACATTTAGTTGCTTCTGGAGTTTGGCGATTGTGAGTAACACCCCAATTCACTTCGGGGTGTGGACACATTCTGAGATTCTGACTTCAGCGTCTGTGGCAACACACCATAGTGAATCATGGGAATGACACTTTTGGCTTTTTTAGAAGCTCCATGCTGCTTTCCATAGTGGCAGCCCCAGTTTATGATCCTACCAACACCATGCAAATACTTCAGCTTCTCCACATTCTCACTGATTATCTTCTGTCTTTTTTTTTATAATAGTGGCTACCAGTCATCAAAATAGGCATGAGCTGTGACCCGTGACCTGTGAGGTTTCTGGTGGCATTTCCTCAATGACTGTTCTGTTTCTTCTTTTATTTCTGTTCTAATACTTGTTATTTGTCTCCTGCTCAGTATAGACTTAAATTTTCTTCTTTTTCTAATCCTGTGGGAGCAAAATTTAGATTGCTGATTTGACATCTTCCTTCCTCTTTAATGTAGGCATTTGTTTACAAAAACTTTCCTCTTGGAACTGTTTTTCTTAATCCCAAAAGTTTTCATATGTTGTATTTTTAATTTAAATTGTCTTGAGATATTTTTAAATTTTTCCTTATTTTTTGACTTGATGCTTATGCAAGAGTTGTTTTATTCACATATTTATGAGTTTTCTGGTTTTTCTTGTTATTAATTTCATTTTTCTGGACATGTAGCACACATCTGTAATCCGAGCACTCAGGAGGCTGAGGCAGGAGGATCATTGCAAGTTCAAGACCAGCCTGGGCTGCAAAGTGAGCTCAAGTCCAGCTGAATTGCACAGCAAGATCCTGTCTCAAAAAAAAAAAGCAAGCAAGAAAGAAGGAAAATAAAAAAGACAATAACATTTCATTTTATTGTGGACTGAAAAGACACTTGATATAATTCAATCTTCTTAAGTTTGTTAAAGCCTTTTTGTCACCTAATGTGCTCTCTCCTGGAAACTGCCCCATTAGAGTTGGAAAAGAGTGCACATTCTGCTGCTGTGGGATAAAATATTCCACACCCGTGTGTTTGGCCTGCTGCTTCCTGACTGATTTTGCCCGTGGGCGTTCTGTTCATTACTGAAAATGGGGTCTCAGAGCTTCCTGGTTGTATAGTATTGTCGGTTTTCTCTCCAGATCTGCTAACATTTGTTTCATAGATTCAGGCGTTCTGATGTTTGCATACATATTTACACCTCTTGTACCTACCTGATGAATAAACCTTTTCTTCTTCGAGTAAGTACCTTGTTTGTCTGTTGTGACATTCTAAGTACAGTCATTCTCACTCCTTTTTAATTTCTATTTTCCCAGAATATCTCCTTCCATCCCCTCACTTTCAGCCTGTGTATGTCTTTAAATCCTATATCATACATCAGTTTCTTTAAGATGAGTATAGTTGGATTTTTAAAAAATTCATTATTATTGTGTCTTTTGTTTGGAGAGTTTAATCCATTTAAGTTTAATGGAATTATTGGTAAGTAGGAAGGCAACTGTTGCCTTTGTATTGTTTCTGTTTAGTTTGTGGTTCTTTTGTTTCCCTTCCTCTTTTACTGTCTTCCTTTGTGACTTACTAAGTTTTTGCAGGGATGCTTTGGTTTCATTCCTCTCCTTTGTGTATCTACTGTTGGGTTTTCTCTGCGACACTGTGCAGTTTACGTAGAACGTGTTACTCTCAGTGCAGTCTGTTTAAGTTAATAACAACTTTATTTCAATAATACACAAAGACTCCCCACCTTTACCCTTCCCCCTTCACGCTCTCATCACAATTAAATCTGTTATGCTGCGTATCTATAATAAGAACTCATAGCTATTCTAATACATTTTTGTTTTTAAATTTTACATTGTAGTTAAAAGGGTGTATACACCTTATTCCATTTTGTTGTTTTTCTGCACGTTTACTTTCATCAGTGAGTTTTATGCACTCACTTTGTCTCAGCTTGAAGAACTCCCTCAAGCATTGTTGGAAGGCAGGTCCAGTGGGTTTCTGTGCGAGGCTCTAACAGATTATTTTGTGTATCACTTAGAACTTTCCATTTGCAGTGTCATGTCATCTGTGAACAAAAAGTTCTACATCTTTTTTCCTGCTCATGTCCTTTTCTTCCCAGTTGTGCTCAAGAACATCTTTGTGCAGGGTAAAGCCTGATGCCATGGTGACTCAGAATCAAAACCTGACATTGCTCGCTCCTCATTCTTTTAGCTTCTCAGGGCTCACCATGGGCTGGGTGCTGGTAAGGAAAGGGCCCTGCTGTCCGTCGTGGGATTGGTCGACAGAGGCTGCCAAAGGGGTCAATGGGCAAATGAGAAGATGGTGGATGGGTTGGTGAGATTCTCCAGGGGAATCATCATGACAACATGGTAGAGCATAGCTTGGGGGGTTTGTGCTACTTTCAATACCACTCAGAAAATCATTCACCTCTTCTGTTTCTCTGATCTAAGAACTCCCTCTCTATGCATCCTCCACACGTTACATGTTTCCACCCCTGACATTAATACTTCCACGAAGAGGTAACCGTCCCTTCTGTGGGAATCTACTCTTTCAGTCTACCACAGTTCATAGATAGTCCATTCTCAGTCCCTTCTCAACCCCTCTCTTGATCCTGTCCACTCCTGGCCTCAGTTCTACCTGCTGGAGCTTATTTCTCTGCATCACTGAGGACATCCAGAGTTCCCTAGACAGCTGACTGTCTGCTGCTCACCCAAGTGAGAGCTTTGCTGAGAAATAGCAGGCAGAGACATTGCCCTTGACATTCCCAAGTGGATGCCGTTGTCACTGTTCCTCGGGTGGAGGTGGTGCGTGGCTTGGGTCCTGTGGACCTCCCAGGCTCACATGGTAAAGGGCTGGTCCCTGGATGACACTCATGGGCGGTGAAGGAACCCTCAAGAGCAAGGCCTGATGGGAGGCTTCCGGGTCATTGGAGCTTTGCTCCTAAGGGAGAGTGCAGAACCCCAGCCCCTACCGCCTCCTTTCTTTGCTTCCTGGCCATGAGATGGGCAATTTGGACTGTAAGTGGCTGTCTCACGCAGACCCAGCACAACACAGCCAATAGACCCTAGACTGGACCTCCAAAATTACGAGCCAGAGCAAACCTTTCCTCTCTATAAACGAGTTATCTTGGGTTTTTTTTGTTACAGTGATGGCAGGTTGAGTCACACAGATGGGAAAAGAGAGGCTGAGAGAGGCTGAATAAATTCCCTACATGTGCAGTCTGGAGCTTAGATGTGTGCGAATTTGAATTGGCAGGGTTAGACATGAAGGACAGCTGTCCATACCAACAAGAAACTGGAACACAGATGCGTTCGTGGCATTGACATCAGACACCCCTTCAGATAACCTTCACACAGTGACAGCCTGGAAATGCCAGGGGGCAACTCACATGCTTCTCCTTCTGCTGCGGGGAAAGGACCCAGCGCTACACACTCCCTGCACGGGGGGACCTCAGGCACACAGCGAACCCACCATCATCTTCTGTCTTTCTGATGACTCAAGTGTGGGAACACTCGAGATCTGCAATCTGTGGGTTTGATTTGTGACAACTTGCTGATGTTCTTTGGCAATATGTCTACTCATTCCATTCAATTAGGTGGTTAAAAGTGACTGATAAAGCACAAGGGATTTTTGTGAAGTTTTTAAAGACTCAAAACTGAAATTTAAGTCTGGCAGCAGGTGAAAAACGAAAACTTGCAGATCATTTCCTTCCTTTGATGAATTAGATTTGAACTTTAGAGTGAGGGAAACCAATCTGGTTTCTTTCCTCTGAAGTCTCTCTAATCCATGCCTGAGCTTCATGTGGGGAAAGTGAAAGCCGGTTTGGCGTGGTGCTCAGGTTGTAGCGTTTGAAGCAAGCCCTGCCCCATCCCCGCGGAGCTTCTACCTCTGCTCTTCACCTACTCAGTGGCCCAGCCTTGTGCTACTCAGCTTCCTATGCTGTGAAAAGTAGCTGTGATAAATCCATTTAACCAGAAGAAGGCTTTGTTCTGGCTCACACTTCTGTGTGTTTCAGTCCAGGACTGATAGTCCTCGCAGGTTTTGGGCCTCTGCCAGTCCGTCAGGACAGAAGCCTGCGGTGGAGGCAGGTCATGCATTAGTTGGCTGCGTGCAGGAGAGCGAGAGGAAGAGACCACAGCACCGCAGTGCCCTTAGAGATGTACCCTGGTACCCCCCCACACAACTCCCTGAGACCTCAACCCAACAGCCTTACCTGGGGGCCAAGCCCTTAACATGTGGACCTCGAGGGACCCTCAGATCCAACCAGAGCAGGTGCCCTGCCCAGACAGCTGGAGCCCTGGCAGCCTCACCTGTGTTGGAGACATTGCCTTCTGAGGAATAGCCCAGCGGTTCACACGTGAAAACAGAAGTGTGATCAGAACCAGGCCAACGCAGGCCTGACACACAGAGTCACTGTCCTCTCGCCCCAGCTGGAGGACACCGGCTGATTCCAACTCCAGTCTGGTTGTTGTGGACGCTGTGAGTGGAGGGTTTGTAACACTGTCTCTCAAGAGAGACACGTCACCTGGGTGGCATATCTCTTCCAGGGAAGTATTTCCGAGACTCTCGCCTGTCTGCCATCTCCAAACTCAAGAGTAGCGTGGAGCCCAAGTAATTGCTCCTGCCCTTGGTGGCTTCTTCTGCCTGGCTTTGGCTTGTGATTGTGTCCAGTTGGGTACTTAATAGTATGAGAGAAAGAAATTTCTCAAGGTTGGAGAAACATGGATCTAGCAATTGTGGTGATTCAAAGCAGAATTCCTGGGGTTCCTGCAGTGTCTCACAACTCTCTATCTCTGTATATATGTATATAGACCATGTTTGCAGCACACAGTGATTCCATTCAGTGCGAGGAGTTGGTACACCTACATAATACAGCCTAATTCTTTTCAATCCTCTTCTCTCTTCCCTTCCCCTCCTGCCATCTCGTGGTCTCCATCCCACTTGCAGAATACACTGAACATCCTTTTCTAGTACATTCTCGACACTGTGCAATGTGCTGGAAGCCATCTGCAGGCTCATAGCGCTCTCAGACCTGCTTGTGGTTAAGTTTATAACTCAGGGCCCTGGAGTCACAAAGCTGGTTCTGAATGTCACTGTCAGAAGAGACAGTGAGCGAGTCTGAGTGGGAAGTGGGGAGCCCTTCTCCATGTCCCTCCTTTGCGCATGGCCCACTGCTTGGCCAGCCAAGTGTGGGGCAGACCCTGACTTTGGCAGGGGCCCTCAGGTCCGCCTGTGGGAGTCTGATGGAATTCAGGACAGGAAGAATCAACTGGATGTGGTGGTATTGGTATGGAGGGGCACAGAGCTGAGGGTAGCGGAAGGTGCCCAGGCAGGTTGAGGGGAGTGGAGAAGCTGCTTGCAGAGAAGCGAGTCCACTGGAGGCACCCCCACTCCGGTGAGTTAGGATTGCTGGGTGTCCAGTGGGCCCTTGCCGCCCGGAAGCTCATCCTGCAGCCCTGCAGCAAGGGCCCTCTGAGGCCAGTCAGCCCAGATAGCTCATCTAAAGTACAGCAAGACCCAAATTGTCCTTCTTTGCAGAGAAGAAAACATGTCTGTCTTGTCATCTTGTCATTACTGGTTTTCTATTTGTTCTACTTTTTGAGAAAAAGAATGTCAGCGGTTCCAGAGTCTCCATTTCAGCTTAACAGATTCACACGTGGTATTGAATCCTTGCAGACTGGCTGAAAATGAAAATAAGCAAAATATACCAGTAAGCCCTGCCAGCTCTCCCACCAGCAATGGGATGGTGATGTTCTGCAGCGGGGTACCTGCCAGGCACTGGATGAGCCCAGGTCAGCACTCTGGGCTCATCCTGACTCAAAGTTTTCAGTCTCCCTGTGCACCAAGGCGTGCAGCCTGTCACACTGTGTCCAAGCAAAGGTCACCTGTCAGCACTGGCTGTGGTGACTGCCTAGTAGGTCATGGAGTTGACTGAGGCCAGGCTGATGGCTCTAGGTGTTTCCCGTGTGCTGTGGGCACCCTGACCTTGAGAGCATCATCCTCTCACCACCGAGCTCTGCATGTGCAAACTTTTAGGTGCTTTCGAGGCTCCTGGTCAGGGCTGGGGCTGGGAATTTGCATGCTGAGCAGCACACCCCAAGAAGGAGAGCAGGGTGGGCTAGGGGGCCTGGACTGGGTAGTGGTGTTGATGTCATCTGCTTGGCGCAGCCCTGGAGTGGCTGTGCCCCAGGACTGCTGTCTTCTGCCCCTCTGAGAAGGTGGATCTAACTGCAGAACATGCTACCAGGTGTGTG